AAGCACCCAATGATAAATGTAAATGTATTGTATACCTAAAATGTACCAATAAAAGAATTTAAGGAAAAAAAAAAAACCACAGCAGTGGACATTAGAGATGCTGACTGTGGGTGGGAATCTGGAAATTGTTACCTATATGTATCCAGATGGTATAATGCTCAGATGCAAAAATTCACTTATATAGTCTAAACCTATTTAATTTTTTTTTTGGTACTGGGGATCGAACTCGGGTCCTTGTGCTTGCAAGGCAGGCAGGGGAACCACTGAGCTAAATCCCCAGCCCTAAATATTGACAAAGAAAGTCAAACAGAAAGAGGAATAGATCCTATATTGAACATGTGTATAGATTTCAAATATGCCCTCCATGGAGCCTGTACAGGAAGTGAGTGGCCATAGCACTCAGTGATGGCTGTGACAGAAGTAGAGATCTGAAACCTGAGGAACAGTGTTCCGAACTGTTCCTAAGGAACAGTGACGTTAATGATAATTAAGCCAGCCCATTGTAACCCAAAAATGCTAGGAAGTTTAGTCTTAGAGCGTATATCTCCAGGGAAAAATACATTTGGGAGGCCAGGCTGCCTCCTACCTCCCAGCCCCTTTCCACCACCCACCAAATCCGTCACTGAGATCAGACCCCCCCCCCCCCGGCCTGGGCCTAGCCACTTGGGTGAGTGAAGCCCTCTGAAGCGCACAAGCGCCTGGCCCAGTCTTTCTCCCTCGAGCCCAGGAGTTTCCCTGCCTGGATCTTTTTTCCTCCTGGCAGGTTATTATCTCCAAAAACAACAGACTTCCCTACTCTAACGTAGAACACGTGGAGCTTCCCTTATTCTGCCTTTTAAAAAACTGTGGAAACAACCAGCATGTATAAAGTTCTTGAGACTCCCTCATTCCGACCACACCACACCATCTGGTAGAACCACTGTTTTGAAGGTTTCTGGCAATCTAGGAAGTGAACCCATGTAGACGGGCCCCTGAATGTCATCCTTAACCCCTGTACCCCACTGCCCACTTCCCAAAAGGAACACCAGGCTCTGGTGAGATTTATCTACGGCCTCATGCAGGTAGCATTGGAGATGGCCAAAAGGAATAAACTGCTTCCTCTGATGCTATTCCCTTCTGCCTTTTTACTTAAACCCTAAAATAAAGGAAAGCGAGGTAGTCACAAATTCTGTACAATAGACAGTAAAGATTCAGCCC